TGAAGTTGGGCACGTACAAACTGAGATAGAAATGGGGTTTTTTAAAGCAGTTAGCATGTTTTTTTCCTGTTTTCTCTTTTCTTATTGAATTAGCCTAATCCACTATCTGTGATGACGAATGATCGCGGAGTTTGCCTTCAAAGCAGATTCACAAAAAGAACTTACATTCCAAACTCCAACACGTTTTCGCTTAACGATCGCCAAATAATCTTCACTTCTCGCATAGTATCCATTTGGTGCAATGTCTCCCCAGAAATTCGTGAACATTTTTCCTGGCTGTGCAAGCATCGGTGCGATGATGCCTCTGAAAACGGTTAATGTACGCTGACGTCCTCTAGACGGGTATGAGGCTATTCTATCGCAGATCGCCGCGGTGGTGGGCGTGGCTTGCGACGTCGCTGCCCTCCCGTACGAGTATTGTTGTCGCATGGATCATCCAAATCAAAGTTATCTAACCCATTGCTATTCTGAAGACACGCCGTGAACAAGAGTAAATCCCCTGCTCCCCTGCTCGCGCGACGTAATTCTATCATGACCTCGCCAGCTCACGATAGAACCGTCCGTCTACCACGGCAAGCTGGTATTTATTATACTACTTAGATGGCTCGACAGACTGTAGCTTACGTCGAGCCATCTGAATGCTGGTTTGAATGCCGCGCAGGCGACGACGCCTGCGGTGCCGCTTCCGCCAACTCAACAGGATTTCCTAAGCCGCACCCGAGTTTTGAGATCAGCTATGAGCCTGAATGGAACTAGAATGCTTGGACATATCCCAAGCAGGGACTGATCTGTGGCGAAAGCTTTGTCTTTGGATCTTCGTTTATAAATTGACTGCTTACACTTCGTAGTTCACTGAGTATTCGATTAAATGCTGTAGTGTTTTGGTGTTTGACAGAAAAGCATCTCCATCGAGCGAAAAGAGAAATTCAGCATCATGTCGGGAGGCGAATGTCCTGTAAATGATGGGTAATGATCATATGTGGGAGAACCTATTTGAGATTCCTTATGGGATGCATACAAAGCCTCTTGTCTCGCTTCTCGCTCTTGAATTTCTGACACTCCATTGATGACCTTCTTAAAGTAGTACTGAGAACCGTACTTCGAGAGGAAGTCCAGTACCTGGAAGCAAATATAGCAGATTTAGAAACGTATTGTTACAGGGTGTGGATGAGGATGCCCGAGTTCCGGCGACGAGGCAAAAGGGAGCTATACATGAAGTAAAAACAGGAGCGAAGATGAGGCGTCATGAGACCTAGGTTCGGCGCGTCACCGTGATTCGGACCTCCTGACCCACTCCCTATCATTCTTACTGTTTTTATATCGGATCGCTGTGAGTTGTAGATGAAGAGAGCAATCCTCTTCTTGGGATAATCGAGGTGAGCGAATGCCTCAAGCATCTGAAAGGAAGATCATAGATATAATTAATTAGATTCATTGATCTAATCTACACATTAGGCTGCGTTTAAAACAGCGTAGCGTAGCGCTTCCAGCGTACGCCAGCGGCAGTGTCGGGGAAAGGATAGATATCGATCTAGCGTTCCCAGCGTCACCAGCGTACGCTAGCGTGCCGCTAGCGCACGCTGGCGTAGCGAGGGCACGGGAAGCATAGCTATCGATCTAGCTTCACCAGCGTTTCTCCAGCGTTTCCAGCGCTGGCAGCGACGGGGCTAGAGAGGGGGTAGAGAGTATTGAAGGGAGGAGAGCAAGCGCTGGGAAAAGCTGGAGAAACGCTGGTGAAGCTAGGTCGATAGCTATGCTTCCCGTGCCCTCGCTACGCCAGCGTGCGCTAGCGGCACGCTAGCGTACGCTGGTGACGCTGGGAACGCTAGATCGATATCTATCCTTTCCCCGACACTGCCGCTGGCGTACGCTGGAAGCGCTACGCTACGCTGTTTAAACGCAGCTTAATGTGTAGA